CTTTATTTTGAAATTATCAGATGAGTTAAGAAACAAACATCTTGACATGTGCAAAAAATTCCTAAAAAGGACATTTCAACAGATCCCATAACGCGTGGTATAAAAAGGAAACAATGTCAAGTAGCAGAGAATTGTAAAGGTAATACAACAGTCAATATGTGTGAAAACTGCAAGAAATATATCTGTGGACCATGTACCGCAAAAGTGAGAAAAGTTAGTGTATGTATTTCTTGTGAAAAAGACTGAGCTATCGCTTTTGTGAGTAAATTATTATATTTCCTAATTATTACCCCAATTACTATTAATATATCCCATTTAAATAATGATTGTAGCATAATAAATATTAAATAGTTATTAACTCAAAAGCCTCTTATTGTGTTTATAAAGAGTTAAAATGCATTAAATCTTATTTTAGTACAATTATTTTTTATCATTTAGCCACTAACTCAATATGTTTTTTTTCTCCAATAAATGAGTAAAATTAAATATTTTAAACTATGTTTCATATGAAAACAACATGAAAATAACAATTTCTGACCTAATATACCTTAACATTCAATTTTTATCACTGTTTTTAAGGAGCGGTCAATTTGACCGCTTATGGCCGTTCTGGGTATACCGAATATTCGGCCGTTCTGGGTATACCGAATATTCGGCCGTCCAAGTGTTGAAAGGGTTTTGGACAGGACGGTTTAAACCGTGGATTAATCCATTCTGTCCTAAACCTTGCCAACCCTGGTTGACAGGTATGTGATTGTAGTGTGTTAATTAATGTAACGGAAAAAATTAATCATGAATACATATACAGTTTACAAAAAAAAATAAAAAAAACATATTACTCTGAATAATTTTTAATTTAATGAACAGACCTTCACATTGTAGGAGTCAATCTTAATGCAGGGTTGCCACAGGCAACTGAAATGTGACTATTTTCGACCTGGGGCGACTATGGCAACTTGGGAGACTTTTCCACGCTCCTCGCGATGTTTTTTTTAAAACATAAATTGGGTTGACAACCTGCAGTCTGCAATAGCTTCTGAACACGAAATAAAAAATTTTGAATTGCAAATTTGAGTCATCACTTTTTAATGCGCTCAATTTGCACAGATTCCATTGTAAATCTATTTTGTTTCTCGATCGCCTTTTCAACAGTCATTGCAATGAAATTCTGCATGATTTTAGAAAACCCAATTTTTAATACAATAAACGATGCGTGAATTTCAAATTTGAATAATTACTTTTCACAATATATATATATGTATATATATATATATTTGCTAAATCAATTCTTAGTTAAACTAAAAAAAAAAATTCGGAAAAAGTATGTTTGTTTTTTAATAAAAAAATATTTTTTGGAATGATTTCTAGTAATTTAAAATATTTAATTTTCTACAAATGTACTAATTTTTTTTACATAAAAATGTAGGGCTAAATCATGAATGCTTATATAAAAAATATCATATTTGCCTCCAACATGACTAAACGGATCATTGTATAGGACAATTAAGTCATTTAATAAAATTTTAGTCATATTTTTGTTCTTATTTAGGCAACTATTTTCATAGTTTTTGGCAAGTATTTTCATACTTTAGGCTACTAAAANGTGCTGCACGAAGTTTTCTAATTTTTTTTACATAAAAATTTAGGGCTAAATCATGAATGTTTATATAAAAAATATCATATTTGCCTCCAACATGACTAAACGGATCATGGTATAGGACAATTAAGTCATTTAATAAAATTTTAGTCATATTTTTGTTCTTATTTAGGCAACTATTTTCATAGTTTTTGGCAACTAAAAGCAACTATTTTGTTAATTTTTTCTGTGGCAACCCTGTAATGGTTCTAGGGAATATGCTGAATAATTAGAGCAAATGATATTATAAGTTAAGAAACCAAACACAAAAATGTACTTTTTCTGAATAAAATTTCTTTTAAAACATTTGGATTTTTGACCCTCACACTATAGAGGGAAGCCGCAGCCTGTGAAATATGGTCCCAATAATTTGACTTAATAAATTGGGGACCCAGAAGAATGGTCCACAGTTTGGACCACCTAATGTTAATTTTACTTTTTGTGTATCTCACCATATCTCAAGAACTTCTTAAACGAATTGAAAATTTTTGTAGACAATTATGAAATTCGTTTATCCGTAGATAATTCCATGCAAAAAATAACTTAATATAATAATAAATATAATGAGTAAATATTTATAAGTTTATTTTATAATCGTAAATTTTTTTTTAATTGTTAAGTATACAATTTTGCACATCATTTTAAAGAATGTAATTTTGTCTTGTCAAAATACTTGTCAAAATACAAACTTTGAGAGAAAGCAGTAAAATAGTTCCTGAGAAATTAAATTTTAAAATTACAGCATTTTACAAATTGGATTTCTCAGGAACTATTCAGTTGCTTTCGCTCAAATTTTTTTTTTGTTTTTTGTGCCATGCAAAATTACATTATTTAAAAAATGCAAAAAATTGGATACCAAAATTTTTTAAACTATTCTCCTATGATAAAATTTTATTAGGGTAAATTAGAATCATTTACTTCTTTATTATTTCTAGTGAATGAAAGTAAATTTTCTTCATGGAAATTAGTTGTTACAAAAAATTTTATTCATTATTTTGTATATTTCTTCAAAATGATTTTAATCCAATTAACAATTAAATAATCACCAAATTTTTAAAAATGATTGTTCAAAAAGTCTTTTGCGAGTTATTTTTGTTAAAAAATCTATTAGTAGTTAGATTAAAAATTAGTGAATTATTTTAATTAGAATTATGAGATATTAGAAATGTGATTAAAAAAATAAAAATGTTAAATGAAATCACAATTTTTAAGCAGAACATTAAATCTCCAGATTGTTTTAAAATAAAGATACCATTTGAGATTTCACTAAGTAAGTATTGATGTATTGGAACAAACAGAAAAGTAATTTAACTTAAGTGTAATTAAAGAATATGATTATGAAATTTTATTTTTAAATTTTAATTTCTTTAAATAGTAAATTTTTTTTTGTATTCAGGGTTGCCACTCCATGGGGAGACTAGGGAAAACCTGGAAAATACAGGGAATTTAGATTTTTTTCTTTACAAACTTTGAAAATACAGAGAATTTTGTTTGTTATTTTCGTCCTTAAAAAAATATGATCACTCAACCCGTAATCTATGGGATATTTAAGAATGATATTTCAGTTTTACTAAACTATATCCTTTACGATAACATTATTTAAGTATGTTCTGCTGTTCCTTTTTTCCTCTAAGTTTTCAGGGTTGCCTCCCCACAGGGAGAACCTGGAAAATACAGGGAATTTAAAAATCCCCTAAAATAACAGGGGAAATACAGGGAGTTTTGATTTTTTTTCTTTACAGATTGAGAAAATACGGAGAATTTTGTTTCTTATTTTTGTCTTTTAAAAAATGGTGACCACTCAAAGCGTAATCTATCTATGAGATATTTAACCATGATATTTTTTTAATGACATAGGAAAATAAATTTGAAAATTAAAAATTGCTGAAAATGTTAAATGTAAATAATTTCTTTACTTTAAGGTCTCTCTCTCTCTCTATATATATATNATTAGGGTAAATTAGAATCATTTACTTCTTTATTATTTCTAGTGAATGAAAGTAAATTTTCTTCATGGAAATTAGTTGTTACAAAAAATTTTATTCATTATTTTGTATATTTCTTCAAAATGATTTTAATCCAATTAACAATTAAATAATCACCAAATTTTTAAAAATGATTGTTCAAAAAGTCTTTTGCGAGTTATTTTTGTTAAAAAATCTATTAGTAGTTAGATTAAAAATTAGTGAATTATTTTAATTAGAATTATGAGATATTAGAAATGTGATTAAAAAAATAAAAATGTTAAATGAAATCACAATTTTTAAGCAGAACATTAAATCTCCAGATTGTTTTAAAATAAAGATACCATTTGAGATTTCACTAAGTAAGTATTGATGTATTGGAACAAACAGAAAAGTAATTTAACTTAAGTGTAATTAAAGAATATGATTATGAAATTTTTTTTTAAAATTTTCATTTCTTTAAATAGTATTTTTTTTTTTTTTTTTTTTTTTTTTTTTTTTTTTTTTNTTGTACTCAGGGTTGCCACTCCATGGGGAGACTAAAGAAAACCTGGAAAATACAGGGAATTTAGATTTTTTTTCTTTACAAACTGGGAAAATACAGAGAATTTTGTTTCTTATTTTGGTTCTTAAAAAAATATGATCACTCAACCCGTAATCTATGGGATATTTAAGGATGATATTTCAGTTATACTAAACTATTTCATTTACGATAACATTATTTAAGTATGTTCTGCTGTTCCTTTTTTTCTCTAAGTTTTCAGGGTTGCCACCCCACAGGGAGAACCTGGAAAATACAGGGAATTTAAAAATCCCCTAACATAACAGGGGAAATACAGGGAGTTTTGATTTTTTTTTCTTTACAGATTGAGAAAATACAGAGAATTTTGTTTCTTATTTTTGTCTTTTAAAAAATGGTGACCACTCAAAACGTAATCTATGAGATATTTAACCATGATATTTTTTTAATGATTTTTTTAATGACATAGGAAAATAAATTTGAAAATTAAAAATTGCTGAAAATGTTAAATGTAAATAATTTCTTTACTTTAAGGTCTCTCTCTCTCTCTATATATATATATATATATAGCACAATAAAAACAAAACCGAACTAAAAGCGGAAGCAGAAATAAAACGAAAGTAAGTTAATAGTAGATAATATATATACATACACAAAAAACAAAGTAAGAAACGAAGAAAATTAATAAGTTTTATTAACTGTATATATGTTATATATATAACCAATTATCAGTGATTCCCTGGGCCAGCAATTAATATAAAGGAATGGTATGTTGTTTGGGTATTATGTTATGGTTGGTTCTTTGCCATTAAATTGCATATATATAAATTGCATAGTTTTTTTTTTATTGATATTAAACTTTTAATGTTTTGAATTTCAGCTGATCTTGGTGATTTTAATCCTGAAGTGTGCATTGATCATTCCTATTTAACAAAGTATAAATTTGTAGCATATCAAGATGAAGAGTTAGAAAAAAAAATTATGGAAAACCACAGAAAGATCATGTATGTATGCAAATTTTTCTGTATAAAGATGTTTTAAAAAAATTATGACAGAAAAATTTCTGAAGTTAAAAAATAATAATTCTTGCAACTAATTCCTGTGTCAAAACATTAATTTTCCTACCTGATTCCTTAGGTTTAGTTCAAAGTTTTTTTTAGATAAATGGTTTTGTAGCCTATAAATCACCAATCTATCATAACCAGCCTAAAAGTAGTTTTAAAAATCACCTTACAATATGTAATTGAGGCTGATGGTTATATTTCAATATTATAATGCAGTTGAGAACCAATCATCCGAAATTCTCAAGACAATTATTATCCCGGATTTCTGAATTGGCTGGAAGACGTCTTTTATCGCCGTTTTATCGAACCCACATTACTATGAAGAAGAATAACATTTTTAAAATAAGAAAAAGAAAGCTCTCCTATATTAAAAAAAATAAAATGGAATAGGCTCTGACAATTCCCGGTTTCGGGGTAATTCCCTGACTTTCTTTAGAATCTCGTTTTCCTGATAATTCCTGGGAGGTACGAACTCATAATTTTATTTTCAGACGATATTGTTCTATTTTAAATTTTCATTCTAGATTCTAAATTTCCCCACTAGCACAGCAAATGTTTTGAGTTACAATTTACTAAATTCTGCTGATTATTTTTAAATCATAAATTTAAGTTTAATTATATCCCTACTTTATTATTGCATAAAAAAAACGCTGTATTTCAATCATTTTCATATTTCAATTAATATTTTGTATTTCTGTTTCTCTTTTTTTTTAACTTTCTCTAAGTAAAGTATAGGGATATATTTTTATTTCTCTTCTACCTTCTGTTCATTAAAATGTGTATGCAATGCATTCCTCCCCTTGTATATCAAAGTGAAAATGAAATCAACATGACGCTCCTTTATGCTTGATTGACCGCGGCTTCTCAGAAAACCACCAATTATTTCAGACTCACAGGAGAAAATAAAGAATTTGTCCCTCTCCTGCCTTCTCTCAACCTAAAGGGGTTTCCGAGGAAATATTGAAGTTTTCTCTGAAAAAACAGGGAGAAAAATTTCCCCACCTACCTTTACCTCTACTCAACTTCAAGAATGAATAAAGTTTCCACTTTTTCCCTCAATCTTTCTAGCTTAAAATAACGGGAAAACCAAGCAAATTTTTTTCTGGTTTCCCGGTTTTCTGGATACTGGATAATTGGTTCTGTACTGTAGTAGTTTCATTCATTAAAAGATTCCGTAAAATTTTGTTGTGATTCTCATTTGTTTTTATTTAATTTGGACTTTAACTGCGGTAATGCTTACCTTGGAAAATTTGTAAGCCGAAATGCAAACCATTTTAAGAAGCAATAAAATTGTTTCATGTGACATGAATGTGCTGCACAAAGTTTTGTTCATTGAATAAAACTTATTCATCTTTGTTTTCTTATGACCTTTTTTTTAAAATATTTTTTATAATTAAATAGTTGTGATATTTACAAAAATATTTACTTTGTATTCTTTTGTTAGAGGTCAAACTCCTGCTGAAGCAGATCTCAATCTTTTGGAAAGAGCCAGGCGTTGCGAGTTGTACAGAGTAAGAATGACGTTTGATAAGGTGATTGATTAATTTTTTTCTTTTCTTTTTAGGCAATACAGTTGTAACATTAAATAAAGTAGGCTTTATTTCAAACTTCTCTTTATTTCAAACAGATAAAAAGCACTAACACATTATTATTATTTTTTATCAATAAAGGACACTAACACATTATCTTCTGTCAAAGGATGTTCTGGAGAAGGCCAAGGTCCACTCTGAGCTGTGGCACAAATGATGATGATGAACATTATTACTAGATACAAATTAATATTATTAGATATGGAATATTAACACATATCTACCAACTCTACTCAGATTTCTAATGGACTACTTAGATCTGCCAGTTTTTTTCTGGTTTAATCAAATATTGTCCTGTCTTTTGTTTCAAGTTTAAAACTTTCTAATTATCTTCTATTAATGATTAATTTGAAAATCTAAAGATTTTTCCTATTTTTTAAACTTATTTTTTTTGTCTGTTAAAATAACTTTCTTTATTAAAAGTTTACTCTTATTGTAAGATTCCAACTATCTAGAAATGCTAAATTACGCTAGAAAAAAAGTGAAAATTTTGAATTTTTATGAGTTTTGTGCATTGCAGGCTCATAAGATAGGAGTGTCAGCTGACCATGGATTTAGCATTCCCTATTTTTCTTCTTCCTTCTCCCTCGATGAGTTTAACAAATAGCCGGCTCCAACGTTCCTCAAATATTACTGTGAGCCATGGTGGCTTAGGAGATAAAACGTTCGCCTTCCAGTGAGGCGAACCGAGTTCGACTCCCAGCTATGGCTGGTCGGTAAGAATTCCGCACCCGGCTCGTAATGACCGTAGTGCTGAATAAAATATCCTCAGTGGTAGACGGATCATGGGTTAGATTCCCCTTGCTGTCAGGCTCATCATGGGGAAACTTCATGGTTTTCTTCTCCATGTAAGGCAAGTATGGGTTAGTTCCATCAAAAAGTCCTCCACGAAGGAAAAATTTCTCCTAATACTTGATCCAAGAGTTCCCTTGTCTTTGGGATTGGGTTCAAAATTAAAAGGCTACAGCGTTGAACATTGATAGCCGTAAACTAAAAATTTGGTCGGCTGTTCAACGACGGTTATAAAATACAAAATCTTATGAGAGGGCTTACAGCCATGATCGATTTAAAATACATCTTACTGTGAAGAAATGCTGGTTGTTTTATCAATTGCCATGATCAAACAACTGCCAGGATGAAGCTCTGTCATTGTATTTGTCTGAGGAATAAATCTAAACTGCATCACAGCTTTTTTCATGGTGTGTAGTGTTTTTGAAAAGTGCTTAAAGTTGCTTATTTTCGACTTTCGTTTTTTAAAAGGCCTTAAAGGTACTTTTTCCATGTTTTTTTTTTTAAAAGTGCTTAATTTCCTTTTTTGAAAATGGGATTTTTTTTCTTTACCATGTATATTTTTGCTGCATATTATGCAAATTTTCACATTTCACATTGCTCTATTCATGGATTTCACAACCACAATCCATTTCAGTGTACCATTCCATAGCGTATGATGGTGCCAATCATTTTACATATTTTCTGAAATGCCTACGAGTCCGCATGTGCGTCTATTTAGCTGGGTTCGGTGAGATTCTTGCACTCTTGTGTACAACTCTATTGTCAATTTCAAGCTTCATTTTCCACCCTCTGAAATCGAACCGAAAAATCTCTCAGTCTTTTTATGGTGGCTAATATAATCAAGAAGAGAGTTCTTTCTCAGAAACTAGGAAAGTTATTTTGATCAATTATTAAATTAATTCTTTGAAAATTATTTTGTACTTTGTTAATGTATATAGTGCGTAAAAAAATTTTTTGAGTCCTTAAAAAGTACTTTAAAGGTGCTTACTTTTGTTAAAAGATTTGGCTATGCACCCTGTTTTTGAATTATAAAGGGTTGCCACAAGCAGGTAAAATTAAACTATCTGCAACTATTTTCAGGAAAAGAAGACTTTTCTATACTCCTAGTGATGTTTTTTTTTGTTGTTGCATAAATTGGGTTCTGTACACAATGATTTTCTTCTTCTTTAAAAATAAAAAAAATTTGATTGCAAATTGGAGTCATCACTTTTTAACTGCACTAAATTTGCACAGATTCCATTGTAAGTCTATTTTGTTTCTCAGTCACCTTTTCAACGGTTTTCGCTAGGAAATTCTGCTTGATTTTTAAATACCCAATTTTTAATACGATATGAGAATTTCGAATTTGAGTAATCACTTTTCACATGTAGCAAATATATATCTATATATATATTTCCTAAATGCAGATAAAAGGGAAATTTTTTTTGAAAAAGTATGTTTTTTTTAATTAAAAAGTATTTTTTTGAATGAGTTCTAGTACTTAAACATATTTAATTTTCTGCAGTTCTAATAATTTTTTTAACATAAAAATTTAGTGCTTAAACACTAACGTCTATATTAAAATTATCATATTTGCTACCAACTTGACTAAATGGATCATGGTATATGACAATTAATCATTTAATAAATTTTTAGTCATATTATTGAAAATTTTTTGTTCTTATTTAGGCAAACTATTTTTATAGTTTTTGGCAACTATTTTCATTCGTAAGGCTACTAAAAGCAACTATGTATTTTGTTCTTTATTTTTCTGGGGCAACCCTGATTAAATTTTTGAGAAAAAGGAATGTTTTGAATTTGTTTGAAGAAATTTATAGAAACTTTAAATAACAGTAATGTAATAATAATTCTTTTTTATTTCAGGACCATGAAGGTGTTCCCCTAAATTTAGCTGTTGTTCATTTAGGTGTGCTAGTTTTTCAAAACTTTACCAAAATCAATACATTTTCATGGGCTAAAATAAGAAAATTAAGTTTTAAGAGGAAAAAATTTCTTGTTAAGCTTCATCCTGAAGGTTATGTAAGTATTTTTTTTTGCTTATAATTATTACATTGATTCAAGTATTTTTTTGAACTGATATTTTTTACTTTAAATCTTTAAAAATCTGATATGAACTTTGTATTTATGATAGTAAGTATTAAATATTTAAATTTTTTTTTTTAAATTTAGATTGCTTGAGACATTTGATATTACAATCTATTGTATCTGAGATTTTTTTTAAAGTTTCTTTTATGATATATCTATTTTTAACCTCTTCTATAACTGATCTGCTACTAATTCTATAACTGATCTACTATTTGGGCAAATTTGCACAAAAACTTTATAATCATGCATAGATTTTCCATTCAATGACCAGTGGAAAAAAGCCAGTTGTCAAGAAAGGAAAACAAACAAATTGTACCCTAAGCTTTTGTTAGGATTAAATGAATAATGATGTGAAAAAAGGATTATTTTTAACTTTTTTAATTGGGGCTTCATAAAAAATAACTCCTTTCTGTTGAAAACATGTTGCAAAAGTAAATCGCCGGTGAAACACTACTTTTTAGTTTTTACAAATTATCAATTTTAAAAAAAAGAAGAAAAAATTTAATATAATAACTTAATTAGTATAATATTAGTTGAATATAATATTAGTATAAAAACTAAGCTTTTTTTAAATTTTTTCTTGTTTAAAATTAGAGAAATTCTAGCCGATTTATTTCAAAAGAATTTCATCCAAATATTTTATAAATTTCCATGAAAATTAAAATATATTTTGTTTTTCGATTTAAAAAAACTACTTTTCCAAAAATCAGAATAGATTGATTGATTTTTAAAAATATGATATGTAAAATCTAAGTCATACTTTTTTTTTCAATTGTTATTGTTACTGAAAATTAAGTTGTGGTTTAGAATCAATGGTTCATAAATTTCTTTGTTGCAAATTGCAGAATGGAAATCTATTATGCGTAAAAAAAAGTTTACATTAGACTATAATATATTCTTTTTAAAACTGTTGCGTAACAATTGCATTGGAGGGCATAATGTGAGAAAATGGTGACGCTGACATCGGTTCAAAAGTCATTTGTGACTGACAGAATGCTTGATTTGCTATGATTAAATCGCATGACACGGATTTTAATATATGGATGCAAATTTAGAATCCTGCAAAATAGCCACTTTTTGACGAGCGAAATTTCATGATAAATTTATTTAGTTTTTATGGTTATTGTTATCAATTTCCCCTTAGTTTTTAATAGCCCTATATTTTTAATACTAAATTATAACACTGAATTTTGAAATAGCTTATTTCAGTAATTAATTTTTTAAGCAGCACTTCATTAATATTTTATTCTATTTAATTACAGGTGTGACCATTACGGGTTTTAGTTTTTATGGTTATTGTTATCGATTTCACCTTAGTTTTTAAAAGCCCAGTCTTTTTTATGCTAAATTATTACAACATGCAAATTTGGCATAGTTTATTTAATTAGTTACTTTTTTAAGCAGCACTTCTTTATTATTTTATTCCATTTATAAGTAATTACTTTGTTAAGCAGCACTTTATTATTTTATTCCATTTAATTACAGGTGTGACCATTACAGGTTTTAGTTTTTATGATTATTGTTATCGATTTCCCCTTAGTTTTTAAAAACCCGCAGTATTTTTAATGCTAAATTATTACAATACGTAAATTTTGCATAGCTTATTTAAGTAATTACTTTTTTAAGCAGCACTTACTTATTATTTTATTCCATATAAGATGATTTCACCACAAATATGACTTTACCTTAACTTTTTTCAATATTTAGAGTGATCTATTTTCACATGGACTTTAAAATTGATTTTTTTAACATGTTATTATTATGGCACATGAAATCCTCTTTGTCTCTAATTTAAAATTATTTTAGCCTTTTTATTTTTCTTGTCATGAGTTTAAAAAAGTCCAGATTTTTTAGGCTATATGCTACATATAATTTTCTGCATATATTTTTGATGCATACATTAAATAAATTCATATAGCGGTACTCCATACCATCGACGAGAATGTGACTGTGATGCCACAATAGGCATTACATATTTCCTATCTTTTAAAGATTCTTTAATTTCTTAAACTTATTTTTTTAATCATTCTTAATCAAATTTTAATTAAATTAAATCAATTATTTAAATTTCAGTACATTTTATAAAAAGCGAATAAGAAATATTTTATTCTTTTTTTAACAATCAATGTAACAACTAAATTTATTTCAATACTAATGTAAGACTCATTAATTCACTATCGCGACCAAATCAAAAGCAACAACCTATTTATAAATCTTTGTTCTGTTTTACTTACCCCAAAAATGTTTAATTTACATGGTTTTGCTAATTCTCACATTCTTTTTGGCGATTCACTTTCGCCAAATTATTTTCAAATTTAACATTGATTATGGGGGGTTGGTTTTATTTTAAGCTACGTTATCTTCTGATAAATTGCCAACCATGGATCTCTTTCCTTGCTCCTAACTGTCAGTTGGGAACAATTATTTGACTTTTAATTTTGAATTATTGGCGATTGGACTGGAGGCATCAGCGTACCAGTTCCAACCACTGAATGTCTATCGTAACAGAAATTCTAGATGTTAAGAGAATGATTTTTTGATTTCTTTAAGGAACTTCTTGTCTTTATTTTATAATTTTGCTTTGTATCAATTTAAGTTTTACACAATAAATTAATTTTTGCCAAATGATTTTTCTTTGATAAATATCCCTACATCATATCCATATTAAGATGTATTTGAAACGGCCATAATACTTCAATCCTACAAAGAAACTGCATCCCACTATCCACTATGAACTGAAACTGCTACTGTAGTGACCAATGACGTCTTTTTCTTTATATTTTTCATCTTAAAAAAATTATAAAAAAACTTACATTTATTATACGAAACATACAATTATCTTGCTTTTAAGCAAATTGAAATAATTTGTAGTGTATCTACCACTACAAAAATACAATTCCAATTCCCTAGTATATAAGACGTGTTAACTCGATCCTTTGTTGGGGTACCTTTTCATAGATGAAGGTTCACATTGTCGATAAATCACTCCCCAAATTCAAATATGTGAAGCTATTCTTCACTGTTAAGGCTTAACAAAATTTAAAATAGGTATTGAGGTCAATTTTTTCATATACTTCTAGGGTTTCTATAAGGATACTGTGGAGTTTGTTTTTGATAGCCGAAATGAATGTAAAAATTTCTGGAAAAAGTGCATTGAAAATCACACATTTTTTCGCTGTTCTGATGCAAAACAAGGAATGCGTATGAAACCCAAAATTTTCAGCAGAGGATCATCCTTCAGGTATGAAATTTTCTTTGTTTCTAATAAATTGTGTTTACATGACTCATTAACTAAACAAATTTTGTGTATTACCTTATTGAATAAATGCTTACGGCATGAATCAAGCTCAAACATTGGTTGAAAAATTTTTTTGTTTCTATAACAGGGAAAACCTGGAAAATTCAGGGAATTTAAAAATCACCAAAATTAACAGCAGGGAATATTAAGTTTTTTTTTTACAAACTGAAAAATACAGGGAATTTCGTTTTTTATTTTTGTCTTTTAAAAAAATGGTGACCACTCAAAGGGCAATCTATGGAATATTTAAGGAAGATATTTTAGCTATACTAAACTATTTAGCATTATATGAGTATGTTCAGCTGTTTTTTTTTACTCTAAATTTTTCCAGCAATTAAAGCTAGTATAATTACTCCAGTATAGTTCATACAAGAGCAGAGTGATTATTTCTGTATATTACTTCTGTATGTTCTTCTATTCTGTTCTGTATGTTATTTCTGTATAGAGTATATTAGGGAAAATGCTGGGAATTTTTTTTCCAGATTTGATTGGCAACCCTGTATAAGCAAGAACCTTTATTAGTGGCTAAATCATACATTTTGTATTCAGGCACTGAGGAAGGTTCTTGTTTGTAGAATTGAAGCAATAGTATGCTCATTTCTGTACCTAAATTTGGGTTTTATTTTACATAACCTATCTTCTTTCAGACTACTTTATTGTTTATACCTATATAGTATGCTTATTTCTATTCTATATTTGGGCTCTGAATATTTAAGAATGATATTCCAACTATGCTAAACGATTTCATTTACTATGGCAAAGTATGTTCAGATGTTCCTTTTTTTCTCTAATTTTTTCCAGAAATTAAATCTAGTATAGTTAGCCCAATATAACTCACAAGAGCACAGTAATTGTATTTCCTCTTTATATATTGTGTATAATATGTACAGGGAATTTTTTTCTAGATTTGAGTGGCCACCCTGGTTTAGTTACTTTAGTTTTTTTAAAAATAAAATAAGTACAGGAAAACTGGAACTGAAAATAAAACCATGCATGTACAATCAAATCTAATTTAATGAACAAATCAATTTGTTACACAATGCAAATGTTGCATACAAATATTTTTTTTATTTCCATAAAAGGTTAATCTATCCATAGTTCTGGAAATTCTAGATAATTCTTTATTTGAGGCAATTTTATTTTTTTATTTTTTTGCTTAATTGTTTTATTTTGCCTTTTTTGTTTTATTTTACATTTTTTGCTTCATGAGTTCTATATTCGTTTCAATTATTTGGTGTTCTTCACACTATTGTATTGATATATTTTGGTTTGGCTATATTAATACAATGGACAAAAGAACTTTTTTTTGTTGATATAATCGTGTGAGCTGATGAAAAGTTTATATCTTTTCTTTATTTTATTTTCCTTTTTTTTAATTAAAAACTATTTTAATTAAAAATTTTATTTTCAAATTTGTTAATTTTTATTTAAAACATTTTTTAATAATTTTTTTCTTCTCCTTTAAAAAATCTTTATATCTTTTGCCATGTTTTCTCTATATCCTTAACATTTTATTTCATTTTACTGATCAAAGCTTGTTCATTGATTTTATGCACTTATTTAACTATGCTAATACATCTAAAAATGCCTATTTAATTATTAGGAGAAGTTTTAAATTATTAGGAGTTAAATTTTTAATTATTAGGAGAAGTTAGCCAACAAATTGAGAAGTCAAAAGATGGGAACAAAATAAAAATAGCTGACATAATTTCTTTTGTTTTTTAACACTTACATTTTTTTTTTTTGTTGCTCCAAAAAGTATTCTATCTTGCCTTTGATTGGCTTGTAGTGTATATATTGTAGTCTTGAGCACTTTCTGCTTTAGTTAGAACATTATAAGCAACATCTAGTATTTATACTAATTCTCCCAATATTTTTAATATTTCAAAAGTTTGCTTAATTGTAGAGTTAGCTGTCTTTAGCTGAGCTTATAACCTAAAATTGATATCTCAAAACTATAAACCGAAAATTATGTAGCTACTGACAAAATTTTTTTAACGTTTACCGATGTTATTGAAAGTTTAATGAAATAAGTACCAGACATGTTTATTTTAATTAATTAAAAATTAGTTTATAAAAATGAAAATGTTCAAGAAGTACAATAGAATATATTTTATTTACTGAAAATCATAATAGTAAAGTATTAAAAAAATGTCTAATATGCTTGTTTTTTAGGTATAGTGGACGGACACAAAAACAAGTATCTGAATTTGTGAGACAGAATAATTTCCAAAAAACACAATTTCAAAGGTAAGTAGAATTTATCATATTAAAAGCAATCAATAGGTTGTATATTTTTGATCTGTCGGGTTATTATTTAGCTGATTTGTATGAAATTATAAAAGGTTAGAAGTAACAGTAACCAGTTACGTAGGCATAAGCANAAAAAATAAACTAGAACAAAAAAATCCTTAAAATATTTGATAGCTCGGTTAAAGCGGAAACTCGGATAACCGGGGCTCGGATTATCGGGACTCTACTGTATTTGTAACAGAAGTCAATTTTTTTTTTTTTAATCAGACTATTCCCTAAACTGCAGAACCAGCAATTGATGCTGAAAGATGGTATTATGGTTCGGATTTTTGATTTTCAGCCTCATGTTTTGCTTAAATTCAATTTTTTATGTTTTTTTTTACCAAAAAAATCTAAGAAGGAAAAGTAAATGGACTAGTGAAAATGTGTATGAACTAGTAATATCTTTTAGTCACTGGTCTGCTGTCCACTGATTTAATTTCCTAATTTCTACACCTATTTGTAGTTTTTTTCATAGTTCTCATTTACAGTTGAACCTCATTAGCGCAAAACTGCTTAACATGAAATATGGTTTTACACACATGAAACACATGTTTGGTCCCGTGAGTCAGCAATAATTTATTGTTGTATTTTGCATGTTTAACATGAAAGGAAACTGGATACATCATAGATAATAAATAATTAGGTATGGTAGTATAGTATGTTATAAAATAATACCTGACCTAGTTATATTATTAGTGTAATGAATGATGAATAAATCCCAATAATTTATTTTGATCAATGCTATTTCCTATTTTCTTCCTTTGTTGAAAGTAGCAGATAGACAAATTAGATAGTTAAAATAGTTTATTATAGTAATTATAACTTTAAAGCTTATTTTAATTTGTTTAGTTCATAATAAAATTTTTTGCATACATTAATGTAGTACATAACATATGTTAATAGCTCAAAATAAATTGTATTCATGATGTACCGGATTAAACAAAATTCAATTAATCTGAAGTGATTATGATAGTTCCGCTGATTTCACAGTAATGAGGTTTGTGTATAATAACAGAGGTGTATAATGACTTGCTCTCATTCTTCAGATTAACATTGAAATTTAAAAAAAAAAATGCTTTTATTGCAGCCTTATTGTATGGTCATTGATGTTATTTATATAAATAATAAATGTGTTATAAATTGAAGTTGGCTGCTTTGATATCGCTAAACAAAACTGAAAATTGTAAGTTTTGTTGCTTCATCACTCCTAGTACAATCCCCTTGGCAGAACCATGGCGACCTTGTCGCAGAACTTTAAAGAGTTCTTGCTGAAAGATTTTTCTTTTGAAAAGTAAAAAATATATACTTTTCTTTTTAAGAGAAATTTACACATAATATTTTAATCGCGCATTTAGATAATGACTTTTTGACTCCCTCAATTTACACCAGTATCGTAAATCGATATGATGTTTTGATTGTATATTTGACAGTTATTGATATTGATTTTCACGTGGTTTTTAAACATCCCGATATATTTAAAATAATATGGAAAATTCGAATCTCACATTTGAGTATTTATTTTTTAAGGCAATAATTCTATCAAATTTTTGTATTTTACTATTGATTTCTCCATAGTTATTAAATCCAATATTTTTTTATATGATATTATTTATTACAACAATCTAATCTATCTTTGTTTTGGTAATTACTACTGCGCATTTCATGATATTTAATAATTTTTTTCAATTGTGTTTTTGTAATTTTTAATTATTTAAGAAATGCAAAGAAGTAAATAATATGTGCTTCCCCCACAAAATGTGAGAATATCACCGATAATATTAGAATAAAAAATGATTGTTTGTTCAATTAAGAAAATTATAGCTTTTTTTGTAAACACAGTGTATTTGTAATTTTAAATTAGTAACATATATGTTAGTTAGTATTAAAAATATCTTGCAGAAAGAAATTAGTGCTAGAGAGTTTAGTCTCAGATAGTTCAAAAAAATTCTGCCACTGGGAGTATAATTTAGTTTAACAATAATTAGTTTCCCCTTCCGCTGAATGAAAACATGTTATTTGTTTAAGTATCTTCATTATTATGATTTTTATTTCCTCACAGATCTACTAGTTGTAGGACACCTACTTCACCAACAAAAAGTATAAGTTCATCCATAGTTCCTCAGCCTTTATTGCCGGTAACAAGTTCGTCTTGTGGTTCAATGTCAGATGTACCAAAGGATGTTCTGCTTCCTCCCAAATCCACTTCCGAGCCGACCACACCCCACACGGCCCCCGATTTCGGAAAAATCTCCAACGGCTCTGCCAACGTTTCAGGTGTAGTATCTCCAGAATCTGATCTTGCAGGCTTCCAGAGTCCAGAATTTTGCATGCAGGATACCGATGATAACATTTCTCATGACTCTTATCACGTTCTTGATACTAACCAAGCTGCTGCTGCTACTAACACTGATAACCCCTCTACTAACAAAGAAATTGAGACAGTCTCTGATTTTAAAGAGGACGATGGTAAGTCCAAGAGTACCACTAATATTTTGAAACATTCCAGAAAAGAATCTCTACCCCAAAAAGACGAAGAAGAGACCAAGAAGAAATCACACAGGCATCGCATTAGGGTATATTCCAATCACGTTGACGTTGGACAGACCAGCCCCATTTTGTACGCACGAGCCAATCGCCACCAGCTCAACGCCGAGAGCGAGTGCAAGGCCTACCCTCGTACAGTCGATTTCGTTCTAGTCAATCAGCTGCCCGCTATCGGCAGTTTTTCTTATCGAGATGACTCGGTGGAGTTAAAATCACCTAGCCGGCTTAAGTTAGAGCTTTTTCACCACAAATGGAGATCACAGGAAGAGGAGGTCAGAGAAAACAAACTCACCGATCGCAGGGCTCGTTCGAAGTCTCAACCTTTGCCTCTAGGTGTAGATTTATTAACCGATTTCTTATCCCTTGAAACGGAAAGAAGCTCCAGCTGCCATGACTCAAGAAAAGAGACTGCTATAAAAGTAATCTCAGATAGTGTTGGTTCTTGTAAAAATGACAGTGCGTCTGGAAAACGTGCCCAATTTTCAGCTCCAAAAAAGAAAACTATCGAATCTGTTTACGTCACCGATACAATCAGGAGAAGACTCTCCCCAGAATCTGTTAGGAAATCCAAAGCATATCAGCACATGGTATACCTCGGAATTTTAAACGAGGGGGAGTTTGTCGATCGAACTTCTCACTACGGTTATAATACTTATAAATTTTCTCAGATCGGTCGCCCTCCCGAACTCCTAGCTTCGTGCAGTGCTCAATCCGATTCACCCATAGAATTGCCACATCATGAAAAGTAATAAATAATAATGTAGAGAAATATATATATATCAATCTGCTGTGAATAACATCAAATAATTTATTAGACATGCTGTTGATAACATAATTTCTGTCCATCTTTCTGTTTTTAAATTTTATGAAAGAAAACAATTTCATTTTTTTTAATTGAAAGTGAAAGTGTTTTTTATCACAAAATTTGATTAATTCATAGTCTGAATTTAATTTGAATTTTACTTGATATTTATAAGAAACTAAGTAGGAAAATACATGTTTTTTGTAATTCTATAGGTGTTACTCATCTGCATTTCTCATTTATAGACATATTATACAGGGTAATTCAAAATGATTGTAGTGATTACAAACGGAAATATCTATTTAATGAAATGGAATTTGTTGATAAAATTTGCACAGAATGTAGAAGGAACTTCAAAAATTCGTAAACATGCATTACAGATTTTCTATGTGACTGCCCTCGGTCACATGGACAACATCTAGGCGGTAGTCCATTTCACGCCATACATTCTGAAACATTAGGGCAGTTACCGACTCAAGCAATACAAATGCGTTCTGCAATTGTTTTGGGTAGAGCCACGATAGCTCAAGGGGTAGAGCGTCCGCTTTCCAACGAGGGGAACCAGGTCGAATCCAGCTATGGCTGGTTGATACGAATCCACATCCGACTTGCACCTACCACAGTGCTTGACAGATCATGGGTTAAAGTCCCTTCGCCTTCAGGCTAACCTTGGGAGGTTCTCGTGGTCTCCCTCTCCATGTAATGCAAATGCGGGTTAGTTCCATCAAAAAGTTCTCCATGAAAGTAAATTTCTCCCAATACTTGATCCAGGGTTTTCATGTCTTCTGTCTGGATTAGCTCAAAATTACAAGGCTACAGAGTTGAACATTAGTAGTCGTAAACCCCAAATTGGGTCGTCTGTTCAACGATGTTTATAAAATAAAAATATAAAATGAAATTGTTTAGGGCATGGGAAGTACAGACACCCTGTTCCCTGCTTATGTTGTTCCCATTTGGAGGTTTTTGATAGTAACGCTGACTAAATCTCTGCACTGCAATAGCATAATGACAATCGTTAAATTCTAATGAGCAGAATGCTTTCTGCACGGGTCTTGCCATTTTTATTAATGAACTCACGCATTCGCAGGATTCTGCTTCATTGCACCTTACGCAAAGAAATTTTGACCTTCCATCTACATTCTATGTTAAAATTATCGATACATTATTCTTCATTCAATAGTTGCAGCTGTTTGTAATCGCTATATTCCTTTTGAATTACAGTGCATTTTGCTTTTCTCATGTTCTGGAGGTTGATTTTTAGAGCTGTCGTCTGTGCCTAGTCCTATGGGTTCATTTTTAGCTCTGTTGATGCATTTCAAAAGAAGCTTAGTAACACATCTTCATATGTGTAATTTAAAATTTTTCATCTAATTTTGTAATCCATATTATTAATCAACAAAGTATCTTGATTTTAAGTGGAAATGGTTATGAAATTGACCCTTCAAGACTGAAAGTTCCCAGTTGTGATTCCCATTTTTAATATCTTCATTAGAAGTTACCCAAATATTTGCCTGCATCGTTTTAAAACGAATCACATCAAATCATTATTTATTTTCTTCTTATTATATTTACTTAGTAGTATCTTTTATTTTGCGAATATCAGAGACTAAATAAGACAACTCGATTTCTGCTGCTATTTATATGTATTTTTTTTTACGGCAAGTAGGGAAAAAAATGGGCCGATGTTAAAAAACGATATTAATAGATAAAAGTACGGGCAAAGGGAAAAATACATAAATTTACTCATTTAAGTTCTGAAACTCATTTTTTTAATTGATATATTACTATTAATTTTTTCCGTGTTTGGCAAGAGAAAATTATCCATTCCCTCTGGCTTTTAATACTACTGCGTACAGTCGTTACTTTTTATAAATTTGTTGAAATAAGCTATGTTAATTCTCTTCCTATAGGAGTTTGTTTAGGTTCTTATGAGAGGTGCCTATTTTGTGAAAATTGAGACATAATTTGTGAAAATTAAAAACTATATTAAAAAATCAAAAATTTATATATATTTTTCGCCATATATTCAAAAATAATTTTGCTATTGTAAAATTTTGGGCTTAAAATTGTATCTAAATTTAAAAATCATTGTCCATTGTTAAATTTCAACTTGAATTTTAAAAAAAAAAGTCATGAATTTACCAGTATTTGCACTAAAAGTTATTTTCATTATCAGAACATTTCCCTCGGGGTTATATAGAATAAAGTTTCACAGAGAAAAAAGTGTTTCATAAAAAAAATAAAGGTCTGTTAGAATAAATTTAGAACAATGTTCGAATCTCCACTTCCTGTAAAGTTTACATAGGGAGCGCCTCATTTAATTTAAAGAATAAAAAAACCTCAACAAAAAAAGCTTCCTATAATATGGCGTAAGCGACCACTTAGGCTACCATACTGCACTATCTGACCAAGCACGTGTTACCTATTCATGTATGCATAATTAACCAGGGATTTATCGTTTCGTACAGGGATACAAAAACAAAATTTTAAGAGGCGGGGAGAGAACCTTAGAACTTGCTTTTTTAAAAGCATTTTGTGAAACTGCCATTTTTTCTGAAGTTGAATTTGTGAAGGTACCGCTAAACGGTAGTAAATTTGTCATGGACAGTCCCCTGATAAGTGTAGTTAAATGTTTCTAGAATTATTTGCTTTTAGAAAAATCTTTCTTTTCAAAATAAGTATAGCAAAATAGATCCCTGATGGCAGGCACAGTGATTCATGCTCTGAGCTGTTGTGAAGGAACATGATTCTATCCATTAGTGGCCCGTCCAGCGTCAGAATTATGTGAACCAGCTTGTCTGGGAAGTAATGGTACTAGTTACGCACTGCTTACCGCAATTTTAAAATTATCATCATGTTGTTGGATTTAATATTGTGGACTTTCATTAACCCAGGGCTGAATGCTGCGAGTTGCAGAAGTTCACTTAATAACAAAAATAAAACACACATTCTAGGTTATGGTTGTTGCACTCACTGTTGCCCAAGAAATCAGGATCGCCAGAGAAAAGTTAGAAAATTTTATCAATCTGGAAAAATTGAGGAATTGTCAGGGAATTTAATTAAAATACCCCAAAAGTCAGGAAAACGGATTAATTTAAGCTTGAGGCACGTAAAAGCCAAATATTTTGTCTAAAAAAAATTTGATCTTGTAATAGTTTATCTTAAAAAAAATTTTTTTTCAACTCTTATAAATGAGTATAAGTATTTTGTAATATATATACATGCAGCATAACTGCAAAATTAATAAAATTTATGCTGTTAGTTACAAAAATTTGGTAATTTGATAAAATCAAATTGAAAAAAAGTAGAGAATATTTTTTCTTTTTTCTGAATGCTTGAAGCCATCCTGGAAACGTTTCTTTAATTTATATGTTGTAAGAGCTACCTTAATTTTTTTAAGTATGCCTCAATGTTTCATAATATTTAAAAATAACTATAACTTCCAGCAATTTGTTTGAACCTATATTATTTCAAGGAATTACGTTGTAAAAATATATAAAAAAATTTTATGGCAGATTTTTAAATAAGAAATGACTTTTGATTAAATATGATGATGGTTAAAGCTTTACTAGTATTTTATATGTGTTATGCGTAAAAAGATGTAAGAGGGATTTTAACGTTGAAAAAAATGAGATGTTAGCACTGACTTGTCTTATGTTCTAGATCAGTGGTCCTCAACTGTTGGTTTATTGAATTATCACCAATAATAAATAAATAAATAAATATTTTTTCTCTAAAATTTGTATTTATATATTTTTTTTAATTTGCAGTCAATTTTTTTTTAAATATATTATTAAATCTGTAATCCTCAACAGTTGTTTTTTTATTTATTATTGATGATAGTTCAATAAACCAAGATATTTTTTCTAACTTATTTTTTTTAAAGTTTTTTTTAATTTTTTTAAAAGTTTTTTTTAAAATTGGCAATATTATTTTCTCTCTCAGAATTTAACATCAAAGATAGGGCAAAATTTTGACAAAAAGTAAAAGAATAAACAAAAGATCTACATTAATCACCCAACTTCCGAAGTACCAATTCCTTTTATCCAATCAAATTATTTTTGAAAAAAAATTTTTTTTCTTTGTTATATCTTAAAAGAACTGAATTATTTAACTGTTT